TTCCTTGGTATATTCTTTTTCAAAAATACAGTGTTAAAACTTACTGAATAAACCACTTTCGATATCATTTGATCAACAGTTATATATAACTGACTTAGGGGCTGTTTACCAAATTTTTTATTAAATCATGTATGGATAAATTTGTCTGTCTAGATAAATGGGTGTTGTTGTTTACTTTTTTTTATCTTAACCAACAGTCTGAATAACATAAATGACCGATTTATCCCCAATATTAATTATTTGAACATCAAAACAAAAAATCACAAAGAGATCGACGATGAGGTGTTTCATATGGGAAGAAGACGTTGCTTTAAACAAGGGGTAGGAGTGTCATTTTTGTGGCTGAATGAGAATATCACATTATTTCTATCTGTGCGATTAAGCCATGTTCTATGTGAATAAGCCATAAGCAAACAACGCAAATGAGATGTGCGAATAAGTCAGATAGACCAATAAGCCAAATTAAACCACAAATAAACAGCCTCTTAATAAGCTGAAATTCTCTTTAAACTCAATCTAAAATTCTAACAAATATGCTCTAACTCAATAATATTTTAAAAAATACATAAATATTAAGAGTAATATTTATATTTATTTACATAACGTGTAAAAGAAGATATTTCCGATTATAATTAGAATTAAATTTAATATTATTTTATTTATTTAATTGACTCGTTTTTAGTAACGCCCATCGTTTTTAAAGATGCTTGCCTTAAAGTATACATTAAAAATTACTTTAAAAAAGAATTGATTTTCAAATTGGGTATATTTTTAATATTTTTAAAAACCCATTTTTTCAAATGAAATACATTTTTATATATTAGAAGAGTACTCGTACAATACAATGATATATATCTTCATTTTAATATTTCGTTTTAACTTTTGTCTCCATTGATATAATACAGTTTATGTGGATTCGATAAAGATAATGTTTTTATTTTTAAATAAAAATAAATTTGAAAAAATATCATAAAATTTTTAAAAAATATATTGATATTAATATTAAATTAATTATTTAAAAGTTATTTTTTTT